CAACCAGGAACGATGAGAGACAGAGACAGTCTTAGCATTGTTTTCCTTATTTATGATCTACAATAACAATCACAGTAGGACACAATAATAAATACAAAGTAACATATCTAACATATGGAAAGTAATCCTTTATGAATTATATAAAAAGCAAAAAGCGTGTATAAATAATTGTTTTGTTTTCCTTGAGTATTTATTTTTTGCTCTGCCGTGCTAGTGACCTTTTTACACTTTTTATGAACGTACGCCAACTCTGTGTAAGTGTGGCGAAAGAAAAAGAAACTCCTGCTCAACACAACAACAACACAAGGAAAGATATGCACAGTCTAGCATTACCACCATACATACGGAGTCAACCGACACATTAAAAAAGACAGAATATAGTCATAACTAAAGGGAGGTGACTAGGACTAACAACATAACACGCGCCACTAAGAGAGACACAGAGAGAATGAACCAGTAATTCCTGTAACACACAAAAAATGCAGGCTGGTCAGCATCCTGAAGGTTCTAACATGCTATCAGAAATTTGTTTATTAAAAAAAAAAAGTCGTTCGGACATGCGGGCGCTGTGCCACGCCTTAGATCCTAGCTTCTGGGAGGCCGAGGGGTGGATGCTCAAGGTCAGACAGTCAAAACCAGCCATGAGCAAGAGCGAGACCCCATCGCTACTATAAATTAGAAGAAAGTACGTTTGGCCAAACTAACGTGTATATATAAAAAAGTTAGCCGGGCACGGGTGGCGCATGCCTGTAGTCGCAGCGTATCGCGAGGCTGAGGCAGGAGTGATCACTTGAGCCCGAAGGATCGCGAGGTTGCTGTGAGCGAGGCGGAGTGCCATGCACTCACTCGTAGCCTGTGGCCAACAAAAGCGAGACTCTGGTCTCAAAGAAAAAAAAACAAAAAGTAGTGTCGGAGTGGTCAAGACCCTTGCTGGGACTGGTGGCAGGGTCTGCCGGTGCCTCTCCGCTCGGTCCCTGGAGGAGACCAGTCCCCTGTCCCAGAGGTTGAACCGTGGCTGTGCCTGGGTTCCTGTCCTTCCGCCCTGTCTGCAGGTCGCTGCCTGGAGCGCAGGCACCTCTTGGGTTCAGGCTTGAGTTCAGTTTGTCGCGAGAGTCCTGGGCTGTTGGTGACCACGGCGAGTGCTGAGGCACCGGGAGTGCGTCCATGTTGGGGTGACGTCCGTGGCTGCTGCTCTGGGTAGCGTTAGGGTGACCATGTCCATGGCTGCTGCTCTGGGTAGCGTTAGGGTGACCATGTCCATCGCTGCTGCTCTGGGTAGCGTTAGGGTGACCATGTCCATCGCTGCTGCTCTGGGTAGCGTTAGGGTGACGTCTGCTAAATTTTTCGTATATGGGGACGCTCATCTTGTCTGTAGTGTTAGGGTGACCGTGTCCATCGCATACGCTCTGGATAACTTAGAGTGACCATTTCCATCGCTGCGCTCTGGGTACGTTAGGTGACCATGTCCATGCTGCCGCTCTGGGTAGTGTTAGGGTACAGTCCATCTCTGCTCTGGTAGTTTACGCAGGGTGACCTGTCATCTCGCGCTCTGGGTAGTGTTAGGTGAGCCATGTCCACGCTGCTGCTCTGGGTAGTTTAGGTGCCATGTCCCATCTCTGCTGCTCTGGTAGTGTTAGGGTGACCATGTCCATGGCTGCTGCTCGGGTAGGTTGGGTGACCATGTCCATCGCTGCTGCTCGGTGTATGTAGGTGACCATGCCACTCTGCTTCTCTTGTGGTAGTGTGTGACATTGTCCGATCGCTGCTGCTCTGGTATGTTAGGGACCATGGTCCCATTCAGCTGCTGCTCGGTAGTGTTAGGGACCATGTCCATCAGCTGCTGCCTGGAGTGTAGGTGACCATGTATCCTGCTGCTCTGGGTAGTGTTAGGTACTATGTCCATCTGCTGCTCTGGTTGTGTTAGGTGTACCATGTCACTCTGCTGCTCTGGTATTGTAGGACCTGTCCATCCTGGCTGCTTCTGGGTATGTTACGGTGACCATCCATTGCTCTGTCTGTATTTAGGGTGACCATGCCATGTCTGCTCGGGTAGTGTAGGGTGACATGTCCACCTCGCTGCTCTGGTAGTGTTAGGGTGACCATGTCCATGGCTGCTGCTTCATGGTAGTGTTAGGGTGACCTGTCATGCTCTGCCGTACGTTAGGACCATGTCCATCGCCTGCTGCTCTGGTATGTTACGGTGACATGTCCTGTGCTTCTGGGGAGCGTTAGGTGACCATTCCATGCTGCTGCTCTGGTACGTAGGTGACCATGTCATCCTGCTCTCTGGTAGCGTTAGCGACATGTCCATCTGCTGCTCTGGTAACGTTAGGGTACATGCCCATCGCTGCTCTCTCTGGTAGTTGTTAGGTACCATGTCATGGGTGTTCTGGGTAAGAGGGAATTCCTCGCTGCTGCTCTGGTAGCGTTAGGGTACCAGTCCATGGCTCTCTGGTACACGTTAGGGTGACCATGTCCATCGCTGCTGCTCTGTAATGTTAGGGTACCATGTCCATCGCTGCTGCTATGGCAGCGGGCAGTGCCCACGAGACAGCTCGCTCCTTCGCCCACTGCGCTGCTTGCAGGTGCAGTTTAACCAGACTTGCAGGGTCGCTTTGGTTGTTTTCCTTTATTTACCAGTTTTCAAGTAATGATTCTTACACACTCTCCAACAGATCAGAGGGTTTACTAATCTTGAAAACTCATGTATTAATATATTTGGTGCATCTAATAAACATATATTGCTGCACTGGTGGTGGTGGCAACCTTGTAGTCTCCAGCATCTTCAGGGGCTTGAGCATGAGGATGGCTGGACCTAAGACTGAGGCTGCATGACATTGATTGTGCCCACAAGCACTCCACTGGCATGAACAGACTCACACATAACACCAGACACCCACCATACACACTCACACCACCAAAGAAACAGCCTGAGCGAGACCGTCTTACAAATAAAAGGATATCGACCAACTATAATATACAAATAAAATTAAGCCGCATGGTGTCACATGCCTGTATCCCACTACTCGAGGTGAGGCGAGCACATTAGCCCAGGAGTTTGAGGCTGCGTGGAGCTTAGGCTGATGCCATGGCACTCACTCTATCTGGCCAACAATGAGATCTGTCCAATAAAATAAATAAATAAAATTATAAAAAACATACATCTTAGTTCGAAACGTCTTAATGGTGTCCTCCCATGCTGAGATTCCTGGTAGTTTTCCTGGGAGTGTTGGGATTGTAGAATTAGTCTACCCCGTGGTTGTGCATAGCAGGGAGGAATGGGTCCTTGTATGAGTGTGCCGGGACGGGGTGACCAGGAGCTGGACGGAAGAGGATATATCCTCAGAGGCTGCTGCGACCTTTCCTGGGCTCTTCCTGGCGAAGGGTGGGGTAGAGCGTGGAGTTGTGTCCGTGCTGTCACTGCCCCTCTGATCCCACGCTCTCAACATGGAGTTCTGGGGAATGCCAAACGTCCGGCGGGTTTGGACCGGCCCTTGGTCACGCGGCCTGAGCATCGCACAATGGGCCCTGGATCACGCAGAGGTGCCCACTTGGCTTCCCAGCCCTCTGCCTTCTATCGCGTCGTGCACCTCCACTGCCGCACCCTAAGCTCTGCTCGCTCCTTCCCCTAACTGGCACCTCCAGAAGCCCCAAAACCCCAGGCCCAGTGTGACCAGCGGAGGGGACCTCCCACTCCCCAGGGCAGAGAACGTGTTTTCCTTTGTGCTGCATTCTGTATGTTCTCTGCAATGAGTCCTGGATAGGCAGAGTGGGGAGGGTCTCAGGTTGCAACTGGCTAAAAGTTAGGGGTTTTGTGTCCTTGCTACAGAGTTGAAGCTTTTCCTGGATGGATAGGTGCTTAACTGAACTTACGGTTCTCTGCTTACTGACCATATGGTTAAGAAAAAAGGGACTTCAATCGGAATGTCCTTCTACAAGACACCATACTAAACTAGAAAGAGTGTTAAATAAATTGGGTAGAGTCATCTCTAGTAGGTTTTTTTTTTACTGCGAATATGAGTTAAATATTGGAATATTCTCAGACATTATCACGCACTGGAGCTATTAGCCATTATATTTTTGTTGACACAGTTGCCGCTCTTTGACCTTCAGAATGATATGCCTTTGTTCATTAGAAAAGTAACTTTGCCACTTATCTTGTTAAAGATTATTGGAAACTGGCATTTAAAAAGCTTTCTTGTAAGACTTAGGGCAACACAAAAACTTGTGATCGTGTATTAAACATTTACTAATTAACAGTAGGAGAGGATTGTTATAAAAGCAGCTTTCCCCTTTTCTTTAGATGACTTTTTATTTTGAAAGCTCACTCTGTCCCTGAAATTCATTCTATGTCAAGATGTATAATATGTATAGTTTGTCGTGGCATCCAATTGGTTCTGTGTGTATCAAGGTTACTTCTTACCTCTATTTCGGCTTTTCCTCATCTGAAGTCAACATTTGCATTCTTTCTAGAGAAGATTAATTTTATTCTTAAACTACCTTTTGTTGGTGAAGTGGAAATAATGGAGAAGCAGCAAGCTACAGTCATTTCGAAGATGGTAATGATATTAGTAATAGCCTCCTTGAATCACACGCAAGCCTTTATTCCTCTGGAGCGCCTGGACAAGCCTCCCTCCTTGCACTTTACCTGAGCAGACCTCTGGTGGCTGTGGGGGTATCTCAACCCTGAGTTTTAGCATATACAAACATTTAAACACCGACTTTCAGCATATATAAGCAAATGGGAAATAAATCTTTGATTAGTTTATAACACTATACCTGCTTTGATATCTTTGGAAGTTTATGTTAGAACCTATTAACTGCTGCACTTGCCTCTGTTGTGGACTGGGGAACATTATGGGGGTAAGATATACTCCTCGTGGACGTTTACTTATTCAGTAAATAATGAATAAATAGTTGTAGAAGAGATGGAAAATTGTCACAAACTTTTGCTTACTTACAAGAATTTACATTTTTGGTGTTTTTAAATGACATATAAAAGAAATGAGAGACTACTGAGGTCTCCACTATATAACCAAATTCTCTTTATCACTTTAATTGGTTTTCCATTAAAACTGTTTATTTTTTAAGTTATAGGAGAGTTCTGGAAAGCTAATAAAATATAGAGGTATACATACCTGTGTCATAGCACTTAATTTTAAGAGAGCATTTCTAAGAACAAAACCTCGTTAGTAAGCCCTCTAGAAATAAGGACTTTATGGGTCTAGAATGCCACTTTTTTTTTTTTTTTTTTGAGTCGGGGTCTCACTCTGTTGTCTTAGGTAGAGTGCTGTGGTGTCAGCTTAGCTCACAGCAACTTCAAACTCCTGGGCTCAAGCGATCCTCCTACCTCAGCCTCCCGAGTAGCTGGGACTACAGTCACACGGCCACCACGCCTGGCTAATTTTTCTATTTTTAGTAGAGATGGCTCTTGCTCTTGCTCAGGCTGAGCTCAAACTCATGAGCTCAAGCAATCCTCCCACTTCAGCCTCCCAGAGTGCTAGGGTTACAGGCGTGAGCCACCATGCCCGGCCTAGAGTTCCACCTCTTTAATGGTACTTAGGATCACTAGGTGGGTGAGTTTGAGCTAGATATCAGGTATTCTTACAGGGTTCTTTCTCTCTCTCTCTTTTTTTTTAACCTTTTTTTCCTTGAGTCTTGGAAATAAAAAAAAAAAAATGTTTTCAGTCTTTAGGGTATCTTATTAAAGATGTACACTGAACTCGGTTGTTTTACAGTCTCTCTGGAGAGGCCTCTCTGTCTGGTTGTACCTAGCAGCACAGAGGTGGGGTCGTTGGTTTATTTGACTTGTCTTTATCGACACTTGTTTTTTCCTGACTTAAAGTTAAGTCTACAGTATGTTCAGGGAAGTCGAGCTCTGGCCTTAAATGCCACCGTGTTCCCTTCCCCCGCTTGGGAAGCATTATTTCTTAAATTATGGTTCATTTCTCCATTTAAAAAGCCCAAGCCAGTACTGGGTCCTGGTCCTGCAGGGCTCTGCCTCCTTGGACCAGGACTCAGCAGGGAGGTGGGGTGGGCCCAGCACAGAGGGAAGCACAGACTGTCAATGTCCTCTTTTTAGGAAGACGGAAGAAAGTGCAAGGAAAAAAGAAAACCCCGTCCAGGGCGTCTGTGAAGAGTAAGCGCCCAGCGACAAGACCCAAGAAGCGCCAGCGTCGCACGAGGAAGAGAAAAGGGAAACCGAGGAAGGTAACGGTTTGAGAGCGGTGTTCAGGCTTCTTGCCTGTTTCAGTTCCTTCCTGTGTGTAAGTAGCAGGGTCACAGCAATAGCTTCTTTTCTATTTACTTAAGGACGTGCGGTAAAAGTGAGTGCGTCTGTAGTGCAGAATAAAGACAGGCTTACAACAGAGGTTCCCGGGGCCCCTGGGGCTGGGCGCACTGAGGGCTGTGTGACACCTGGGCCAGGGTGCAGCCAGAAGGCCGGAGCACTGAGCCACCTTCCTGGGATCT